TAAAGAGTCCTCTCCTGCTGATGTTCAGGTGTATATCAGTATGTAGTGTCTCTACTTTAAAGAGTCCTCTCCTGCTGATGTTCAGGTGTATATCAGTATGTAGTGTCTCTACTTTAAAGAGTCCTCTCTGCTGATGTTCAGGTGTATATCAGTATGTAGTGTCTCTACTTTAAAGAGTCTTCTCCTGCTGATGTTCAGGTGTATATCAGTATGTAGTGTCTCTACTTTAAAGAGTCCTCTCCTGCTGATGTTCAGGTGTATATCAGTATGTAGTGTCTCTACTTTAAAGAGTCCTCTCCTGCTGATGTTCAGGTGTATATCAGTATGTAGTGTCTCTACTTTAAAGAGTCCTCTCCTGCTGATGTTCAGGTGTATATCAGTATGTAGTGTCTCTACTTTAAAGAGTCCTCTCCTGCTGATGTTCAGGTGTATATCAGTATGTAGTGTCTCTACTCTACAATGTGTTGGAGCGCGAGCCAATAGAAATGCGAGTGTTACATAGTGAGGAGTCCAATGCAGGCGTTTCAGACCATGCACACAAACCTAACACTACACAGGAAAGAGAAACACCCAAAAAGCAGAATAGGGCCTCTTTTTAAAACCCTTTCACAGTGAACTTTCTGGAGTAAAGCTGTTGCCGCAGGTTCTTGCCCGTGATCTGAGGAGCTGGCAGGGCTCTGCTCCATCCAGCATTAATAATCAAGGTGCTTAAATTATGTAAAACATATTCATTATTAATATCAGCACAGCACTGCATTCCATCTATTGCTGTGTGCGTAAGATCCAGATCAAATATGGGCCGAGGCTTGGCATTTGAGGATAAATCCACTTCGTCTCGCACGCACATACCATTAATTCAATACACCTTGATCTTTTGAGAAACATACTGATGAGACGTGTACATCTGTTGTTGCCACGCGTACAAAATCCTCCGCCTTCCTCCCTCTTCTCTTCCCGTCTATCACTTTGTCCATTACTCACACACACACACACACACACACACACACACACACACACACACACACACACACACACACACACACACACACACACACACACACACACACACACACACACACACACACACACACACACACACACACACACACACACACACACACACACACACACACACACAGTCAGAGGAAATGGGGTTCATCCTGCGACTCAGAGACAACTAAAGGAATTATTCCGAGCTGCATATTGTGACCATATTATTTCCAATTTGCTAGATTTCTTTCTCGTGTAAGTTGTGTTTAACTTTGAGTGCTCAGTATTTGATCTTTTGTATATTAAAATGCAGTGTGTGTCTGCAAACACACTGAGGCGACACAGGGATTACCAGAGAAGGAGAGTTCATGAAGCTCCATTGGATAGATTCCTGTTGGAGATAAGCAGAATGTTAATGATGTAAAAAGGATCTGATTAAAACTAATTAAAATAATATGAAATCCATCCATGTTCCTCTCAGGCTGGATTGTTATAGCTGTGGTGATCCCTGCATTTGAGGTCAAAATGACAAAAATCCAATACTATCTTTACCCATATAACTGAAACTAATGATAATAAAACAGATGTATAAATAACGCCACCTCTCTCATTTCAAATGAAGCATATGTGGGTTGGAGCACTTGCTCAAATATGCTGCTGTTGTCCTTGAGGGGACTGTCAACTCAATCACTAGAATAAATTCAGCCGAGCAAAAGAAATACAACTAACTCTGTGTATTTAATTAATGAATATGATATGGTAAATGAAGTGCGATTGGTAATAAAGTATAGAAACGACGTGTAATGGGATATTCATGGCTTTCTGATTCCCCCCCCCAAACACACACACACACACACACACACACACACACACACACCACACACACACACACACACACACACACACACACACACACACACACACACACACACACACACACACACACACACACACACACACACACACACACAGTCTGCAAATCAATCCTGTTTAATATCAGGCTTCACTGGAACACAATTCTCCATTTAGATCTCCAGAGACCGACGTGAGAGAAGACATTATAATAACACTGTTTCACAAATACCACTGCGCGTACACACACACACACACACACACACACACACACACACACACACACACACACACACACACACACACACACACACACACACACACACACACACACACACACACACACACACACACACACACACACACACACACACACACACACACATTTTTATCCATTTCATCTTGAGAGTTGCATTAACTCAAACTAATGCACCGCACATTTTAAAGAGGCTCTATTATGCTTACCGTGGTTTTCTATTCCCTGTTATTGTTACTTTTAGTGAATTAATATATCCGAGTACTACTCTGTATCTTTGCCACAGATATCCCCGTGATCTGCAGAATATAAATGATGTCTGCAGCTTTCCAGCCTCATGTATTCATATTATCTGTGGCACAAAAACAAAAGCTAGGAATGCCTACAGAACATTTATCACTCACCCATTCATTCATTAATGTTTGCATTCATTAGTTTCTTGCTCGACATCTACACTCTGCCATATGTGTGATAGCAAGACTCATACGTCTCAATTCACCATTGTTGTGTGACTCACACACTCAACACTGTGGGAAGCCTTGACTCTGTGTGTGTGTGTGTGTGTGTGTGTGTGTGTGTGTGTGTGTGTGTGTGTGTGTGTGTGTGTGTGTGTGTGTGTGTGTGTGTGTGTGTGTGTGTGTGTGTGTGTATGTGTGTTTGATTTCCACTGCTGTTAATGAAGCACGGACTGAAGGATCGCCTCACAGTTCAGGTTATCCAGGGAATACATGTCACAGTGATGGGTTTGGTTTCTTTCAATCAGACCTGAAGAGCAAATTGATGTGAATTTGAGTGGAAATGATGTTGATGATGAAGACGAAGGAAAGGAAGTGTGTGTGTGTGTGTGTGTGTCATCATCAACATCATTTCCACTTCAGGTCTGATTGAAAGAAACCAAACCCATCACTGTGACATGTATTCCCTGGATAACCTGAACTGTGAGGCGATCCTTCAGTCCGTGCTTCATTAACAGCTGTGGAAATCAAACCCACACACACACACACACACACACACACACACACACACACACACACACACACACACACACACGCACACGCACACGCACACACACACACACACACACACACACACACACACACACACACACACACACACACACTTCGCTGACAAAGGCTCCGCAGATCCTCTCAGTGAGTCCTGGGTAATTGTCTATTAAAGCTACGGCGTAATGTGTAGTTTTCATCACATGCTGCATCCCACATGCACACACTCTAATAAGGTAACCGGCGTTTCAATTTGCTATCCAACGAGAAGCTAAAAGCATTTCATTATCTGCTTTAGCACCACGCTCTTTATTCCATTTTGGAGGATGGTTTAATATGAAAACATCTTGAATATGAAAGGTGGATGAGATTCAGCAGGTGAGTTGTTGCAGGTTCAAAACAGGGGATTTAAATAGAAGATGTTTAATAGAAAAAATAAGCAAAACATGGTAAAACAAATGTGTTTTTTCACGTACTGTGCAGAATTACTAGTATTTCAATGAATAATATGACTGTGTTCAAGCTTTACAAATGCTTTCTGTTTTATATCTGGAACATCTTTGTGCTTTGGACTCACAAGTCAAGACATTGAACAACATCACCTTGGACTTGAAGGAATTGGATGCACCTTTTTCTGACATTTTAAGATCTAGTTACAAACCAGCAAATTACAAAATGAGTCCCACTCTCGTTTTCACTTTAAACATGCCATTTAAAATGTCTTCCTTTAGTGCAGGGGTGTCAAACTCAAGGCCCGGGGGCCAAATCCGGCCCGCCACCTCATTTTATGTGGCCCACAAGAGCTTGCAAAGAATATAATACATTTATTATAAGGTTACGTGCCGCTTTACAGGAGCACGTTGCCCATAAACTACATGTCCCACAATGCATCTCATTTTGTGAGATGGCACTGAAGAGACTTGCAATAACTTGCAATGACTTGCCCTAGACTTCTGCTTTCAGACGTAGTTAATTATCAAGTTATTACCCTATCTGATAATAATCCAATGCAGAGGAAATATTGTAAAATAATACATTATTTTATATATATATTATATATATTATATATATTTATCTATGTATATTTATATAGTCTTAAAGTTACCACTGGCCCTTTGAGTGCAACCATAATTCTAATGTGGCCCGTGATTAAATTGAGTTTGACACCCCTGCTTTAGTGGATCCACAACGTGCACTTTCACTCTCTGTAAGCATCGCTCTTCTCTCATTTCAGAGGTCCACAAGTGTGTTGTTGCAAAATGGGGAATGGAAATAAAAGCAATTTAATAGAAAAAGGAAGCAAAACATATTAAAAAAACAGTTTTTCAAGGGCGTGCTTTCAGATTTTGCACTTTCTGCACATTATTCAGAGTATTAGATTAGTTCTGCTCCTCAGAGTCACTGCTCATGTGAGTACTCAATGGCTCAGGAGGTAGAAACATGGACATAGTCAGAGGTAGGAAAGGTTTCAACGAACAGAAACTTAATCTGAGGAAATTCAGAGGAGAAGAAGTACTTTTGGTGCAAAGACTCGCAGCATTTGATCCACTTATTGGAAAACACTTAAAATGTTAGTTAAGCATGAGTATTATATCAAATCACACTAAGTCTTAACACTTTAGTTTTTGTATGGGAGCAGTTCACATGAAACCCTGTAAACATGCCAGCAGTGGCCAAAGTCAAAAGTCGCCCTTTTTGAAATCATACATGCTCATGTCCGATGCATTTCCCCCTTACTCTTTCAGTCTGTGGCTATAAGTATAGTTTTATTATCTCGTGTTTTAACATTTGTTGTGTATTGTTGTGTATTTTGTGTTAAATGTGTGAAACTCAATAAAGAGTATTTATTAAAAAAAAAAAAAAAGAAAGTTGGATTGGATTTCCCCCCCTTAACTCACCCAGTATGGCGAGCACCGTGTTGTCCTTCAGCACCTCCATGGACCCGGAGCAGACGAAGTAGATGGCCTGCAGGGCGTCCCCCTGGCGGATGAGGAACTCCCCCGGGGCGCAGAAGGAGGTCCGGATGATGAGGGAGAGCGAGCGCAGACACCCCCTGCTGGCAGACTCGAACAGAGGCAGCTGCAGCAGCTCCTTGTTCAGGTGCATCGCGATGTCCGCACGCAGCTCGTCAGGGAAGTCCTTCAGCAGCTGGAGACAGAGAGGGAGGGGGGGGGGGGGGGGGGGGTCGTGTCAAATTATCATATCATCATTTAAAGGTCCCCCATTATATTGTTTTTTATCATTATATTATAGGTCTCAGATATATACAGAACCTGTCTCTGATTGGCTGAAACACCAAACAGATCATTGCAGCATTACCCATAATCCCCTCTGTTTCAGCCCTGTTTCCAAAGTGCTGATTCTCTGTCTGTTACTTTAGATGAAAATAAGGAGCCCCTCCCCACGCCCCTCTGAGAGAGATTTGGTTACAAAGAACACAATGGTGCTCTAGGAGGAGATTCAGGTGATAAGGTGGGGGGGGGGGGGTTACCTTGGTTGCTGATTGGCTAATGGTTACACAAGACAAAACATCGTTATGACATCATCAAGTGGCCAAAATCTGATCGGCTCATTTTCAGACAGGTTTTTATATAAAATGGATCAAAAAGAGAGAGAATCTTTGTTCCTGAAACTTTCAGAGTCTCTTTACACAGAGGGGACACATGTTGATGAAGAAGAGACATGAAGAAGAAGGGACACATGTTGATGTAGAAGAGACATGAAGAAGAGGGGACACATGCTGATGAAGAAGAGACATGAAGAAGAGGGGACACATGTTGATGTAGAAGAGACATGAAGAAGAGGGGACACATGCTGATGAAGAAGAGACATGAAGAAGAGGGGACACATGTTGATGTAGAAGAGACATGAAGAAGAGGGGACACATGTTGATGTAGAAGAGACATGAAGAAGAAGGGACACATGTTGATGTAGAAGAGACATGAAGAAGAGGGGACACATGCTGATGAAGAAGAGACATGAAGAAGAGGGGACACATGTTGATGTAGAAGAGACATGAAGAAGAGGGGGACACATGCTGATGAAGAAGAGACATGAAGAAGAGGGGACACATGTTGATGTAGAAGAGACATGAAGAAGAGGGGACACATGTTGATGTAGAAGAGACATGAAGAAGAGGGGACACGTGTTGATGTAGAAGAGACATGAAGAAGAGGGGACACATGCTGATGAAGAAGAGACATGAAGAAGAGGGGACACATGTTGATGTAGAAGAGACATGAAGAAGAGGGGACACATGTTGATGTAGAAGAGACATGAAGAAGAGGGGACACATGTTGATGAAGAAGAGACATGAAGAAGAGGGGACACATGTTGATGAAGAAGAGACATGAAGAAGAGGGGACACGTGTTGATGTAGAAGAGACATGAAGAAGAGGGGACACATGGTGATGTAGAAGAGACATGAAGAAGAGGGGACACGTGTTGATGTAGAAGAGACATGAAGAAGAGGGACACGTGTTGATGTAGAAGAGACATGAAGAAGAGGGGACACATGTTGATGAAGAAGAGACATGAAGAAGAGGGGACACATGTTGATGTAGAAGAGACATGAAGAAGAGGGGACACATGTTGATGAAGAAGAGACATGAAGAAGAGGGGACACATGTTGATGTAGAAGAGACATGAAGAAGAGGGGACACATGTTGATGTAGAAGAGACATGAAGAAGAGGGGACACATGTTGATGTAGAAGAGACATGAAGAAGAGGGGACACATGGTGATGTAGAAGAGACATGAAGAAGAGGGGACACATGTTGATGTAGAAGAGACATGAAGAAGAGGGGACACATGTTGATGTAGAAGAGACATGAAGAAGAGGGGACACATGTTGATGTAGAAGAGACATGAAGAAGAGGGGACACATGTTGATGTAGAAGAGACATGAAGAAGAGGGGACACATGTTGATGTAGAAGAGACATGAAGAAGAGGGGGACACATGTTGATGTAGAAGAGACATGAAGAAGAGGGGACACATGTTGATGTAGAAGAGACATGAAGAAGAGGGGACACATGTTGATGTAGAAGAGACATGAAGAAGAGGGGGACACATGGTGATGTAGAAGAGACATGAAGAAGAGGGGACACATGTTGATGTAGAAGAGACATGAAGAAGAGGGGACCACATGTTGATGTAGAAGAGACATGAAGAAGAGGGGACACATGTTGATGTAGAAGAGACATGAAGAAGAGGGGACACATGTTGATGTAGAAGAGACATGAAGAAGAGGGGACACATGTTGATGTAGAAGAGACATGAAGAAGAGGGGACACATGGTGATGTAGAAGAGACATGAAGAAGAGGGGACACATGTTGATGTAGAAGAAGACATGAAGAAGAGGGGACACATGTTGATGTAGAAGAGACATGAAGAAGAGGGGACACATGTTGATGTAGAAGAGACATGAAGAAGAGGGGACACATGTGATGTAGAAGAGACATGAAGAAGAGGGGGACACATGTTGATGTAGAAGAGACATGAAGAAGAGGGGACACATGTTGATGTAGAAGAGACATGAAGAAGAGGGGACACATGTTGATGTAGAAGAGACATGAAGAAGAGGGGACACATGGTGATGTAGAAGAGACATGAAGAAGAGGGGACACATGTTGATGTAGAAGAGACATGAAGAAGAGGGGACACATGTTGATGTAGAAGAGACATGAAGAAGAGGGGACACATGTTGATGTAGAAGAGACATGAAGAAGAGGTGACACATGTTGATGTAGAAGAGCATGAAGAAGAGGGGACACATGTTGATGTAGAAGAGGACATGAAGAAGAGGGGACACATGTTGATGTAGAAGAGACATGAAGAAGAGGGGACACATGTTGATGTAGAAGAGACATGAAGAAGAGGGGAAACATGTTGATGTAGAAGAGACATGAAGAAGAGTGGGACACATGGTGATGTAGAAGAGACATGAAGAAGAGGGGACACATGGTTGATGTAGAAGAGAGACATGAAGAAGAGGGGACACATGTTGATGTAGAAGAGACATGAAGAAGAGGGGACACATGTTGATGTAGAAGAGACATGAAGAAGAGGGGAACATGTGATGAAGAAGAGACATGAAGAAGAGGGGACACATGTTGATGTAGAAGAGACATGAAGAAGAGGGGACACATGTTGATGTAGAAGAGACATGAAGAAGAGGGGACACATGTTGATGTAGAAGAGACATGAAGAAGAGGGGACACATGTTGATGTAGAAGAGACATGAAGAAGAGGGGACACATGTTGATGAAGAAGAGACATGAAGAAGAGGGACACATGTTGATGTAGAAGAGACATGAAGAAGAGGGGACACATGGTGATGTAGAAGAGACATGAAGAAGAGGGGACACATGTTGATGTAGTAGAGAGAGACATGAAGAAGAGGGGACACATGTTGATGTAGAAGAGACATGAAGAAGAGGGGACACATGTTGATGTAGAAGAGACATGAAGAAGAGGGGACACATGTTGATGTAGAAGAGACATGAAGAAGAGGGGACACATGTTGATGAGAGAGAAGAGACTGAAGAAGAGGGGACACATGTGATGATGTAGAAGAGACATGAAGAAGAGGGGACACATGTTGATGTAGAAGAGACATGAAGAAGAGGGGACACATGTTGATGTAGAAGAGACATGAAGAAGAGGGGACACATGTTGATGTAGAAGAGACATGAAGAAGAGGGGACACATGTTGATGTAGAAGAGACATGAAGAAGAGGGGACACATGTTGATGTAGAAGAGACATGAAGAAGAGGGGACACATGTTGATGTAGAAGAGACATGAAGAAGAGGGGAACATGTTGATGTAGAAGAGACATGAAGAAGAGGGGACACATGTTGATGAAGAAGAGACATGAAGAAGAGGGGACACATGTTGATGTAGAAGAGACATGAAGAAGAGGGGACACATGTTGATGTAGAAGAGACATGAAGAAGAGGGGACACATGTTGATGAAGAAGAGACATGAAGAAGAGGGGACACATGTTGATGAAGAAGAGACATGAGGAAGTGGATTTTGGACTGTTAAATTGTATTTGTAGTCTTGTACGTGTTGAACAGAGACGTATGTTAAGGATTTACATTTCTGGAGGGCAAAGGAAGGGTAGAAGGGGGATTTCAAATGGTTAAGGACGAGGGGGTTTAATGGTTTGATGGTGGGATGTTTAGATGAAGCCTAAGTTAATTTAAGGGTGGGACTGTAAGCTGTGTTCTGAATGCAGAACTTATTTTTCCCTCTGAGGATGAAGTTGCTCTCTTTACAGGTGGTCTTATTTTAGATTCACAGAGCTTGAACTAAACAGCAGGCGTCCACACAGCTGCTCAGAAAACTCTTGAATTACCTGAGGGCAGGATTCCCAAAGGTGAAAGTAAAATAAAGGCCAACTAGTTTCAGGTGATCAAGATTTAAGATTAGCTAAAGTAAAACCTACTTTCTGACTGACTGACTGTCTTTGAGATTTGCTTCTACATTCCTTCCTAGTTTCATTCCTATCTCTATTCAGAAGGTTTTACAGAGACCTTTGTTCGTATATCATTCTAACTAACCCTTCTTAAAAGCCCAGAGTATTTTCACAAAGAGCTATCCAAAACCCACAGGAGTTTTAAAACCTTTGAATCTAATATAACAATAAAAGAAAACGTGAATTTTGAACCTGGCTTTATCAAATGTTCAGATTTATGCATATTTCTTTTTGCAGAAACATGGTGAAAATGGGTTTTCATTGTATTTGTGACACAAAGAGATATCCAAAATGTGTCTCTAAAAATCTTTGACTCTTACTTGTCAGAAGAAAATGTTAACCTGGCATTATCCCATGCTCAGGTTTAAGCAAATGAACTCAACTTTAATAAAATAATGCCTCATTTGCCGACTTAAAACAGACATGTAATCATATCAATAATTGCCCTAATGTGAGAAAACAACTGGGTGAGTTTTAAGGTCACATGAAGTTATTTTTAACCCCATCACACCTAGTTTTAAAGGCTTGAATGTGTTTCTGAAATCAGTTCAATATTCACACACTCATATATATTTCTGTGTGGAGGTGAATGTAAGTGTCTCTCACCTCGCTGAAGTTTTACGGATAATATCAAGTTATATTTAACGCCTGATGTCTCTCTATTTAATGTTGGTGCGGATTTAAAGGCTAGAGTGTTTTTATGAATTCAGTATCAAGAGTTCAATATTCACACACTCCTATATCTCTGTGTGGAGGTGAATGTGAGTGTCTCTTTCTCTCACCTCGCTGACGTCGATCCCGTTGTTGACGGACCAGGTTGTCTGGAAGCACTCGAGCATGCGTTGCTCGAGGGCTTTGGGCAGCCGGTGCACCCGGATGAAGTCCTTCAGGTCTTTGGTGCGGGTGTGGTAGAGCGAGCGGCGCGAGTACATCCTCTGAATGATGGCCGTCACGTTTCCAAACACCACGGCATGCATCAGCGCTGCAGAGAGGAGGAGAGGTGATTCAGTTTGATACAGATTTAAAAACAGAGGAGTAGCAGAGGTGGTAGAAGTACACACATCCTTTACTCAAGTAGAAGTACAGATACTCGTGTTTAAAAATACTCTGGTGAAAGTAGAAGTACTGACTAAACTTCTTTACTCAAGTAAAAGTAAAGAGGGCTTTGAAATGTACTTAAGTAAAAAGTACCCATAACTAGCAGCTGTTTTAAAGAGTACCTGACCTCCCTTTATATTAATAGAACAATAATGTCATTGTTAGCTAATGAATGTTTCCATGCTGAACAACGGCAACATGACAACGTTTTCATTGGTCCCTCTTCTTTAGAGAAGACCTGAGGCCTGTACTACGAAGCTGGATTTTCGCTTAGCCGGCTAAATTCAGGGAAATCTCGGGCTTTCCGGTCCTACGACGCTGGTTCTCTTTTTAGCAGGCTAGATTTCCATGGTAACTTATGCTGAGCGGCAAACCTGCTCCGGAGCAGGTTAGGTGGCAGGCTAAGAGATCAACTCAGTGAAAGCACTGCCTGCTGACCAATCAGAGCTCCGTGTGCGGAGTTTAAAGCGATCAATTCATATTACAGGATAGAGGAAATACAGAAAAACTGCCGTTGCAGGAAAGACAGCCGGCCAAAATCAACTGACTGTGTGAACGTGAAGATTAATAGAATATCCCCTCCCATCTTCAGAGCAATCTGACTATTATAATATTAGCAACACATTAAGTTGACGAAACACTCGAGTCAAATGTAATTAAAGTCAGATCCACTCGTGTCTTAGACGGGGCAGTGATTTCATAAACCTGTTAATGTACGCATTCAAACACTTTTTCTTTTACCAGCTGTATTCACCTTGCAGGTGCAGCTATGTGGCTTTTATCCTGGATAAAGTGTTTAAGTCATGGATGTTTAAAGTTTAACTTCTTCATATTTGACTAATATTATAGTTCACTTTTCATTCAGGAAGTATGACGCTGCGCTGTCAGTACGGTTGTCCGTGTTTGAGATTGGTCGAATGCTCCAAATACCACCCCTTTCATGTGAACGCGCACCTAACTAGATAGGACACGGCTGGCTTGAGCGATCCACTTGATAACCGGCGTCGTAGTACAGCTTAGCGCCAGCGCGTATGTTTTGGCTTAGGCCAACCGGCTAACTCCAACATATCCAGGTTAGGTTGAACCAGCTTCGTAGTACAGGCCTCAGGAAATGATGGATACACGGATCGTGTTCAGATCAATAGGCACGCAATGACTCTAAATAATAATGATCACGCCACCAAACACACATTCAAACTAAAGGAACCAGCCTGTTTGGAAAATGTGAGAAGTAGAAAGTACAGGTATTTGTGTTCAACATGTAAGAAGTAGAAAGTACAGGTATTTGTGTTCAACATGTAAGAAGTAGAAAGTACAGGTATTTGTGTTCAACATGTAAGAAGTAGAAAGTACAGGTATTTGTGTTCAAAATGTAAGAAGTAGAAAGTACAGGTATTTGTGTTCAACATGTAAGAAGTAGAAAGTACAGGTATTTGGGTTCAACATGTAAGAAGTAGAAAGTACAGGTATTTGTGTTCAAAATGTAAGAAGTAGAAAGTACAGGTATTTGTGTTCAAAATGTAAGAAGTAGAAAGTACAGGTATTTGGGTTCAACATGTAAGAAGTAGAAAGTACAGGTATTTGTGTTCAACATGTGAGAAGTAGAAAGTACAGGTATTTGGGTTCAACATGTAAGAAGTCAAAGTAAAAAGTCGTCAGAGAAATAAGTAGTGGAGTAAAGTACTGATACCAGTAAGTACAGTAACGAAGTATTTGTACTCCATTACTTCCCAGCTCTGAGTAGAAGTGTTGCTAGTGTTGCAGAGTTGATGATATCACAGGTTATACAACCTTAGTGATGTCAGTATTGCTCAGTTTAAGATGCTTTACGCTGCAGATTGGTGAAGGAAGTCCAGTCCCAGCCTATAGACTCAATGCTTTTATCTATCAGTAACATCCCATAATGCCTCTGCACAGCGGGGACCTTCACACAACGTCCTTATAAGCCCCAAGAAGATAAAGATCATGTGGCTTAAAAGGACTTAGCTGCTCTTAAATCACTAAGAAGACGGTCTCAAGTGGATCACTCCCTCCACAAGAAGGACTTAACACACCGCTGAAATTGAAATAATCTCCATGTTGAAGAAGACCTTTTGTTTCTAGGGAAAAAATGATGTTCAGGTGTATATCAGTATGAAGTGTCTGTACTTTAAAGAGTCCTCTCCTGCTGATGTTCAGGTGTATATCAGTATGTAGTGTCTCTACTTTAAAGAGTCCTCTCCTGCTGATGTTCAGGTGTATATCAGTATGTAGTGTCTCTACTTTAAAGAGTCCTCTCCTGCTGATGTTCAGGTGTATATTAGTATGTAGTGTCTCTACTTTAAAGAGTCCTCTCCTGCTGATGTTCAGGTGTATATCAGTATGTAGTGTCTCTACTTTAAAGAGTCCTCTCCTGCTGATGTTCAGGTGTATATCAGTATGTAGTGTCTCTACTTTAAAGAGTCCTCTCCTGCTGATGTTCAGGTGTATATCAGTATGTAGTGTCTCTACTTTAAAGAGTCCTCTCCTGCTGATGTTCAGGTGTATATTAGTATGTAGTGTCTCTACTTTAAAGAGTCCTCTCCTGCTGATGTTCAGGTGTATATCAGTATGTAGTGTCTCTACTTTAAAGAGTCCTCTCCTGCTGATGTTCAGGTGTATATCAGTATGTAGTGTCTCTACTTTAAAGAGTCCTCCTTCAAAAAGCTCTTTATTTTTCTCATACTGCCTGTGCTGCAGCACCTCTTTTCACCCTCTGTCTGAAACCAGAGCCCAGTCTGCTCTGATTGGTTAGCTGGCTGGCTCTGTTGTGATTGGTGAACCGTTTAAAGATGTCCCGCCCCTTAGCCTACCACATAGAATGTGTTGGAGTGCTAGCCAATAGGAGCGCAAGTGTTACATAGGGATGTCACTATGCTCAGAAAGTAAACAAAAGAGTCCAATGGAGGTGGGAACACAGGGAAGTTAGCCTCTGCAGACCATTTACATGCACTAAAACCTATAGAACACACAATACAGGAGACAGAAAACCCCAAAAATGCCTTAAAGGGCTTCTTTAAACCCCATTAATGTCCCAGGTCTATAATAAAGGGGACATTTTCACACCCTTTGGACGTGAACAAAGCCACCCTCCTACTCTCTGTTATAATGTACTTTCTGTCTCATCCCTGAATGTAATTCTCGCTGCTGAAAAAGCGTTCAGATGTTTACACAGCCCACTGACACCCAGAATAATGACATCCCCTTCAGGCGCACTGACCCACCTCACATTCACTCTGGAGTAAAGATGTATAAATATCTTTGTGTCGGAGCTGAAGGGCACACACTGTGCAGGGAGCTCTGGACCTCAGAGAGATTAATGGAGCTTTAGTGTCCTCTCTTCACTCGTCCTCTCTTTGTGTTTAAGTTGGCTTACTCTGCGCTCTCTGTGTGTTATTTTAAATCACGATAAAACGCCGACTTCAACAACCCAAAGGTAATTGAAGGATGAGGAAAGCTTTATTCTAGGTTATGGTATTGTTAAAAATCCCATGGAAAGATGAAATATATTCTGCATCAGCCCCAAGCTGAGCGTCTGCTTCTGAAGAACAGCTGCTACAAGTGGACGACTGAGCTATTCATCATAGAAAACTGTCAGAAACATGTAACTTTCAGCATCTTAAATATGTCCTGCTTTCCTCTGTGTCACATCATAAGAAAGTGAATATCTTCAGGATTTGGACTGACAAAAACAAGACATCTAAAGTCATCGCCTTGGACTTTAAGAAACTGGGATGGTAATTAATATAAAGATTAATCTGCAGCCATATTCTGGAGATGTAGATCTTTGAAATTGGTCAAATATATAATTGACTTATTAGATTATATTTGATTAGATGTACTTTATTGATACCAAGTTGGAAATTTCTTTGGACCAACTTTGAATTGAGTTTCCCATCACCTTCACAGAGACACACAGACAGAGACCGATCATATCAATTAAAACACAAAAAAAAATGTTGTGACAGTAGCAAGTTAACAAGGGCCTTCCACATGAGTTAAACATATAATGAAATCAGATAAAGTGAATGTATAATCAGTCAAAAGGAATATATCTATATGTATCTATGGTACACAGCTACTTAGCGACCAACCTACGACTAAAGAAACTCCTAAAAGTATGTACTTATTTCCTAAAACTGAGACAATTCTCTCACTTGTGGAATAATACATATTTGATGCTCTTGTTATATATATATATATAACACCTGGTGCATGTGGGACCGAATCATTACACCTGGGATGTAAACACTACAAACTGAGATCCAGCAAACCTAATATTGATGCTATTATATTAACATTTGAAAAGGTATAACTCCAAGTTCAGGCACAACAGCTCCTTTCACTGGAAAAGAACAGATATTATTATCCAGGAAATGGTGTGCACCGACAAAAACAACCTTCTGAGTATTGTGGTGTGTGTGTGTGTGTGTGTGTGTGTGTGTGTGTGTGTGTGTGTGTGTGTGTGTGTGTGTGTGTGTGTGTGTGTATGTGTGTGTGTGTGTGTGTGTGTGTGTGTGTGTGTGTGTGTGTGTGAGTATGTCATGTATTTACTGTGGAAACAAAATATTTTCAATGTCACACGTGAGTTCACATAAACTCCATGCGGGCAGGAATGGATCAAGTTTGAGTTACTTGAGAATGAATGTAAGTCAATATAAAGTCTGTGTGTGTGTGTGTGTGTGTGTGTGTGTGTGTGTGTGTGTGTGTGTGTGTGTGGTCATTTAGAGCTCACTTAATGTGCTCTGACCACACCACACATCACTCTGACCTCTGACCATAAATCTTGGCATTTCTCTCACGGGATAATCTTTCCGTTCCCTTCATTTCTTTCTCATTTCCTCCTTCATTGCTTTCTTCCAGAACATTCAG